TCAGCTAAAGGGAGTTCGAGGGAGATGGATATATAACATTATTTTGATTGCACACAACTTTTTAATGATAGGTCCGTTTTGAAAAATATATATACACAACAAAACTGTATTTATACTTCTCGGATATCGTGGGCGCCAGACACATTTTAAAATCATGACGCTTGGCTGAAATAAACCTGCGCTGCGTAGGAGGCCCAAGAATATGTGTGGAAAATCTCAACCTTCTAGGTTTTGTAGTTTCCGAGATCTCAGCGTTCATACGGACGGACAGACGGACATGGCTATATCGACTCGGCTAGTGATCCTGATAAGGATATATATATATATTTATAGAGACGGAAACGCTTCCTTCTCCCCTTTACATACTTTTGCACGAATACAATATACCCTTTTACTCTACAAGTACCGGGTATAATTATAATTCTATACAAGGGATTCTTTGTGAAACGTATTGTGGTCTCAAAACGATTTTTTATTTTTTCACAATATTACACCTTTTAAAAACAATTTAAAAAAACGTACATTTGACAGAGGCTAAGATATGGCGATGCTTTATTTTGGTTTACTCTATTTATAACTTAAAATTACATGATCTAAATAATTCTGAAAAATTATAATATTCGACAAGGTTTTAGATAAATAAAATTGTAATATATTTACCAGTATTTTTATAAATGACACTTAAAGTTAAGTTTTTCCCTGTGCACTCCTCAAGCTAAAGTTGCTGCGACATGTCACCGCGAGGCTCCTGGACAAATGGTCTTTCCCATTCGCCATATCCACTGTCCCATTCTCGATGCCATTCCCATTCGAAGTCCCAATCCCAACGGGCGGGGCTTTGCCCCCGACAATTGACATTTTGCCACCCATCGCAGTCGCAGTCGCCTTCGCTTCCGTATCCCCATCCATTTGCGTGGGTGGATGGTTGTTTTGTGTGGGTGGGTGGGTCATTGGGCGCTTGGGGATTGGGGAAGGGGATGCGTGGGTGGCTTGTTGTCGCGTTTTGGCCGCTTCCGCTGCCGTTGCCACCTGCTCTTGTCCATCGCCATTCATCAACATCAGCGCTGAAATTAGAAATGTTTTGCGTTTGGCTTCCGGCAGGACTCGGCCGCAGCTCCACTCACAGGTCTCGAATCCAGCTTGGAGCTACCAAGAGCTGGGAGGAACGACATCATCGACAGGAACCAAGCCGTCGACATAGTTTCATGCCATTTGGACAGCTTTCGGCGATGGGGCTGCGCTAATGTAGCGTTGTTGCCGTTTTCTGATTTGTTTACCTTTCCAATTGAATTCGTGTCGCGACCGGCGCCCCATTTCAATTACACTTGACAGCAAAGTGAAAATTCGCACTGGACAGAGAGTTTTAAGAATGTTCTGGGCGTAATTCAATTTTCAATGATTCCGATTAATGGGTTTTGTAACTTTAAAAAATATTTGTTTCTAATCTATACTTTTGCATCAATATTTATTGTTACAGGACTAACCTTATAATGGTATGAAACGTTAAATTTTGATTTTGATTAAATTCAAGATAGAATAATTTTTATTTTGGTATATTGTATTTATTTCCATTTGAATTCTTTTACATTTTTAGCCAAATGGAAGTTTTTAAACAGAATATAAAAATCCTGTTCTATTTAATACCATTTCTTCTCGAGCTTTCAATGTTTAGTGTACAATGCCAGCTGGGTAAAGCATCGCTTTTCACCTGAGGACGTGCAAGAAATTCGGCAATAGATAACAACAACCCATTAGATGAGGGTGGGCTTGGGCTTCCCTTTATTCCCCATTATTGCCCGATGGCAAATGCGAAAGCCGCTCGGGCTATGGTTTAAAGAGTTTAATGCCAAAGTCAAATTCGGCGCGGTTGTAAATATGCGTTGTGGCCGAAAACAGAGACGTGATTTTCCTCTAGCCACAGTAAAATCTATCAGGGTAATACAGACGTGCCATCTGCACAATGAGTGGCACCAGAATTTACTGCGATTTCTCTATTAGGCCAAGTGAGTGCAATTTTTTCTGGGTGGGAGCCGCTTGGGCTTAGGTGCCCAATCGACTGGGTTGATGTTGACGATTACGGCTGATTTTTACGACAATTTGTCTGGATGTGCCTGCATCCAAATGGTTATATTCCACCTACCCCGGGGGTCAAGGACTCGGCCTTGCGTCGCCTTGCCTCCCAAAAGGCAACAATGTAAGAGACCCTCAAGGACACAATCGGAATGGCTTAAAACTTTTCCAGAAGCTGCGCGAAATAAAGCAGCGAGTATTTCAATAAATAAGGCGGCTTTTGTGAGGGATATTGGAGGCAACTCCTTGTGATATCGGATGATCGGGGTGCCAGCATATGGAAACTGTTGCTGCAAACGGCAATAAATAGCGGAAGTAACGTTGTGCGAGCTATGCTCGAATTTATTGCCTTCCACATAAAATACTTGAGATTTTTATGTGCAGCCAGCAAGGTGAATGGGTTTGGGGCAGGGTTTTTCCTTCAGGTTCAGACGTCTCCGGAAATCTTGCAAGTTTGGCTCCGGTTAAACAATCACCATGCTAGGGAAAAGCATAACTTGTACAAAAATTAAATACATTTTTGTCACAGTGTTTTTATATTTTAGACTATGATTATATTTGAGTTATCTAAACAAGAAAATGTGAATAAGCTGATAATTTATTTTAAGCAGATTTAATATTCGTGAAATAAAATATCAAATAATCTTACAAATGCACTTCTTAAAGTCATATACCAATAATTAGGAACGGATGCGTAATGTACTCCTTTTAACCCCTTCGCTTACACAAGGACCACCGTCGGCTGAAACTTTGAATTGAACTTTAGCTCCTCATCAATCAGTGAGCTTATTTAAGGGTTAAGTACTCTGAGGGAAAGTGTGCCATGCACATACTCAGCCCAAGCCCGCTGAATCAAAGGCCGGCTAAACTGAGGCCCATTTAGACCGAACAATTCCACAGACGGGACCAATACAAAGGCGGGCGTTCGGGCCTGGTTTAAATAAACATGCGAACTGAACATAAAGGGCCAAGCGTCGGCACTAAAACCAGCAAAATCAGGTGAATGAGCACTTTAAGTCTTTGTTTCGCCGAATCGAAATGAAACAGCAAACAATGCCGGCTGACAGGCTGGAAAAGCAGCAGCCGGCGGTGCCAACAAAAGCTAGCTTGCTGGCGTTTTAATAGGATTACAACAACAACTATGGAGGGTAGCAATTGGCCAAGGCAACAACACAAAACAAAAAGCGCAATGCGAAAGTTAGTGAAACGGAAGCCAACCGCCGCTGCGGTAACTCCTCGTCCTCCGCCAGCAGTTGCTGTTGTTGTGTTACCTGTTAGCCAATTGTTCTACCGACTGCTCCTCTAGTTGGCTAGCTAGTTGCTCCCTGTCAGTCCAGCCGCTTGTTTGGGTTTTGTCATTTCCATAGCCAACTGTCAATGGGGGCACAAAACTGCCGGCGGACTGGGAAGTTGTCGGGGAAGGAGATCTACAACAATTAGGATTGGCCCTCAAAAGTGATGCCACATGCCAAAATATTTGGTAAGCCATAGGACAGGCCTAACTCAATTATTTCTTCCTTCGGTTAGTTGAGGTTCAAATTGAATTCTATAAGTTAGTGGGGCTTACCTTCTTCATTTATAAGAACTTCTTAGAAAATACTGACATTTTTTGATTACGATTGAGTGATATTAGAAGCTAAAAATGTATGGATTGTGTTCATTTCATATAATTAAATTAAATTTTTTAAATTGCTATAACACTTCTAAAACAATCTATCAATCAAATATAAGGTTAACTACTGCCAAAACTTATGAGTCCACCCTCGCGTAAGTGAAATTTTCAATCCAAGAGGAGGCAATTGGTCAACAACTTGGCCCAGTTGTAGTCCATCCAGCTGGCCTTCCTCTAGCTGCTTCGCTTTGCTTTGTTCGCCTGTGAATTTGAATGCTCCACGGAAACGGATGTGTTGATTGTTAGCTTTTGGGAGGAACACACCAGCAGGACGACGTCCTTGCTTTGTTGGCCCAACAGCGCTGCTGTTAACTGGGGAACTGGGAAGTTGCACAGCAAGAAACTACATTTAGGTGAACTATCAGAAATATCATAAAGATGTTTTTCTAATTTCATTAGAGCCGATTATCTTTTCAGATAAACTAGTTAATAAAACTAAAAGAGATTTTTAATATTTTATCTAAAGCTAAAACTTTGTGCTCTGTGTGGGAACCCGTCACTTGTTACTGGTCATTGGTCATTGGACCCGGGGCAATCAACTGGGCCAGTTGTCATCCGCAGATGATGATGACGATAATGAGCTGAGGCCTGATCATGGTTTACTGACACGTAATGACAGCTAAACTTTCAACACTCGACAGTTACATTCGCCAGAACATCAAGGGCTGAGGACCCGGGATTGGAGTCTGCAATTGCCGGGGCGGCCGTGATTAAAATCGCTATTCGGGCGAGATGTTGTTTAATAGTGATGACTACTAAAAGTTTCGACAATAAAATCTCTAAATGATAGAGATTTTGTTTAATTGGGCTAAGTCATATATAACAATACCTCATAACAACTAAAGTTTTCGAAATAAATAAAAAATATAATTTGATTTTGTGTAGTCTTAGGCTTAACCTACTAGGCCATCTATTTTATTGTTTCATCATAAAGAAATAAAAAAAATTTGTTATGTTATAATTTCTTCGAACACATGTGAAATAAAGTATTTTTAAAAATTTTATAAAAAAATTACCTCAACAGTTATCACTTCCATAAGGCTTTTACAAGTATTGGTTACAAGATAAACCATGAATAATAATAAATTCGAATGATACAAATAAAACATGAACTAGCTATTTCTACATAGATATAAAATGGCTAAGATGCCACCACTTTTCCGATGTAGGGGCATCGGCTGTTGGAGCAGCAAATGACTCGTGCAGGTCGGCTTTTGTCAGTCGTAACTGTAAATGCGTGACTTTTGGCCATTTAATGATGTTTCAACGTCATTGTGCACAAATAAACAATCATCATCGTCCGCACTACGAGGAGCGCAAGGACGAGGGCGAAGCTGGAGGAGGAGGTTTGGTACTGGCTCATTTGATGACATGGCCTTTCAATGGCTCTGGTTATTAATGCGCCTGTTTGCTCCCTCGGCCAACAATAACGCATTTAAAACAACAATAACACAATGAGCCAGTAATAGCCATGAACCGGTCTCGAATCCCAGATACATCGAAGGACTAACGAGGACGATTAGGCAGCGGGAGCAGAGTACCTTTTACCAAATATCCGTGGGTGGGAATGTCAGTTTAGGAACTCTAATTATTTGTATGGCTAATAATTATTAGCAGATTATAATCTGCTTATAAATTGAACTTTTACAATAAATTAAAATTCCAACAATCCCCCAAACGTAATACATTGCTTGGGAAGTTTCCAAATTTAAGATTAACTCAAAGAGTATGTACTCTTTTCTCTACCTAATTTTAATGAAATTTCTTGGGGCAAAACAAAAAACTTAACAAATTTTGCACATTGCTATTATTATCGCTAGCAAAACCAAAGTCGTCAAAGCCTCTAAAAAAATAATCTTTTTGGTCTTTTTTATATTTAATTAAAATGTTAATTTTATTAAAGAGTTATCGCTTGCTTTTAATTACAATTCAATAAGACAAAAAAGCACGTTGACATGTTCATGGCACAAAGGCTTTCCTCTTCCGTGTGTGTCGCATGATTTATGCTTTATTTTGCTAGTAATTCATATTAATAAATAAAATATGCAGTTTCCTGCATACGGTTTATAAATTCAACGACACGGATATCCACAGGACAAGTTTATTGCATTGACAGCGCCGCCTGTCAGCCGGATCCGGACTTCTGCAATCGACTTTCTGATCAGCATCTCTGCGTTCCCTGTAATGCGACCCAGATTCCGCACTTAATAAATACTTTGGCCCAAACCAAAGGTGCACGCTTCACTAAGCGCGCTCAAAAATAGACCCGAAAGGGTCGAGAAGTGGTCGCTGGATTTGGCCGAGTCCATTGACTTGGCCTCTGCAGCGGGTGGAGCGAAGTTCGAGACTCGGCTTACGGCAGCTGGGTTCTTATTTAAAGTTTTGTTGGCCAGTCATGTGTACGGAGGCGAATTGAAGGAGCAGCCAGTGCAAGTGGTAATGGTAATGGAAGTCCTGCAGGAAGCGGAAGTGTAGGTGGAGGAGGAAGAGGCTGGGGGCCCTGCCAGAGGAAACTGCTCTGCAGTTTCTGTCAGGGCCAACGAGAGCATTTTATTTCTTAATTTTGTTTTCGACTAATACTAATTCGATTTCGCTGTAAGCAAAGCATCAGAAGGAATACACAGGGAATAAAAGAAAAATGTATTTCACTAAGAAAGAATCCATATAAAAACCCAAATAATTTATAGGGTGGAAACCGGAGAAAAAAAATTAATTTGTATGTTTAACTAAACATATTTCGAAGTGTTGTTATATTTTAATACGTAAGTTTTTGGGCATTGAGCCCAAAACTATAAATAAATTTTATTGAGAAGGTTCACAAAATAGAGTTCTAATTTATTTGACTGATTTGTTTCATCATAATTTATGCCTCATATGTGATTTATGAACAGTAAGGCTATATGCCAAAATTTGTGAAAAATATGCTAAACACCTGATCCCGCAATTTGGAAAGGATTTAATTTCACTTTGATACTCCATCGTTTTCTTGTGTAACACCAAGCTTATTGACCCGCACCAATTCAGCTTTTACTTTTTGTTGCTTCCATCGAGTCTGCTTTTTAGTTTCGTGGACTGCCAATTTGCATTGGCTTGGCCATTAGGATCGGGTCAGTCCGTAAGTTGGTGTTCTTTATTGTTGTGTGATAGTCGGTCCCTCAGACAGTCAGTTGGTTGGCCTGTCAGTTTGTCGGTTTGTCAGCTAGCCAGTTAGTCAGTTAGTCGGTTAGTCCTGTCCCCAACCGACTGTTGTGAGCATCGTGGTCGTTATTAGCCGCCCGTGTCAGCCAGTTTGTCGTACATAATGAAAGACATGGTTTTCGTGTAGCGATTGCCCCTGCCCCTCCACCACCCCACTCTTCCACCCAGCGGACTGTTCGTCCTTGTACGTAGCTCTCTGTCCCCATGTCATTTGAATTTGTGCTCTTTGTTGCTGCTGCTGTTGTGGATGCTGGCATTGCATACAAATACGTAATTGAAAAATGCACATATCTCCGAGATGCTTATTGACTTTTATTGGACAGCCGAAGGGGTGTGGAGTGGCACGCAGAAATGCTTAGCATAAGTCTCTTTTCGCATGGGTGGGGCAGTCAATTGCATGGAAATTAAATGCATGAACTTGGCCGGAAGGCATCTCAGAGTGCCACAATTTGAGCAATCATTTAAAGAGTGAAAAATCCCCTGGGAATCGGATTTAGATTCAGATTCGGATTTGGAATTTTGAAATGCAAAAAGATATTCAATTTTCCACAAAGTCGTGTGCGGTGTAAAAATGTGAATTATTATTGCCATTGCGTAAATAGCAATCATTCCTGTCCGGCTGACTGAACCGGACGGCTCGAGGGTCGCTCGGTCACTCCTTAGGTATTTTTATTAAAAAATTCTACTCGCCGCCGAGAGCCAAATGCAGCAGAGCCGGTCAAATGGTTATGACTATGGCAATGTTCTCCGAGTGCGGACCAGTCTCGCCCGGGGCTGGTGGGGACAGCAAAAAGTTTTTGGCCTCCAACTTTTAATTATAAATAATTTTCAACATTTTAAATATGTCGCTGGCACGCAAATCTGTGCTGCAAATGTTAGAAATGTCCATCCGCCGGGCAAAAAATATGAAAATGCAGCATAGATGAAAATGTGGAGAGCAGGAATCGAGAATCGGGCTTTGCTGCCTTTATGTGCACACATACTTATGCATGTACGTATATAGTTTTTGGCAACGGCTGCCAAATGCAGTTTTTTATGGCTTCGAAACTGCTTGAAATAATTCTTTTCCCTTTTCCCCTTTTTTATGCCCGGGTCAGAGCTTGTGAGAGCGACTCCGACTCCAAATCCAAATCCGACTGCGGTTAAAAGTGCGGAAATACATTGAAATGACAATAAAACTAAAACTTGCCCGGGACGCTGCTACTTCGTTTTTGTGCTGGCTCAATTTTAAAGTTTATGGCCTGACGGCCAGCATGTGCAGCAACAACGCCGTGGAAATGTTGGCCAAATGTTTATTTTATTTTATATTTATTCGCACTCTTTTTCGATCCAGCATGCATTTGGTTTAAACGTGCTGCTAATAGCAGTTTGTACTCATTCTGGTTTTGGGGTTTTTTAAGACTCTAAAGCTTACCAAATAAGTTAAGGTTTGCTTAAAAGCTTAAAGAATTTAAAATTTTATAGTTTGGAAGAATAAGTGTACAACAAGTGTACTCAGATAATAGAAGTGCAAAGGAGATATGCGTGCAGCAAAGCCACTGCTTGCCTAATTATTTGATCATAACTTTTTAACGAATGGTCCGATTTGATAAATTTCTTTAACATTTCAATGGGTATTAATAAAAGCAACAAAAATATATCTCGGCTAGTGTTGCTGATCGAGAATATATATACTTCAAAGGGTCGGAAACGCCTAATTCTCCACTGTTACATATTTTCCTACGAATACGATATATCCTTCTATTCCACGAGTATCGGGTATAAACTAGGAAAGGTAAGGACAACGCCAACAATTTCGCCAACTAGCTGAATGCGAGTGCGGATGTGGATATATTTAAGTTTATTTCTGCGTTTAAACTTCTCCACAGGCAAATTTTTTAAGTGGATACACTCATTAAGTTTTTAAAGGGCTGGACAATACGAATACAAATTGAGATTAATTTGTATACCTTTGTAGAGGTTATTATTATTTCAGTCATATATTTTAACTGCAAAGGTATAAAAACTTTGGCCGAAGTTAACTTCCTTTCTTTTTATCAATAATGCCTTAAGTTAATAAAATTTTCCCAAGTAATTAAATCAAATCAAACAATCAAAAGCTTTATTGACTCTTTTATTAACTGCATTGCAAGGTTTATTAACAAGTGTTTTTATAAGCCTTTCTTTGCGTCTGTAAGGTGTGTAATCTAATTCTTCGAGTTATTTGTCAATAGCATAGTTTTAGTCTTCACGACAGCAGACGTCACATGGCTGCATTAGAATGCAGTAATGATATGAGGGGCGAAGCCAACCCACTGATCAGATTTAATAGTGTAAATTTTGCCCAGCCGACACATGAACTGCAGCTCTAATCATAAATCTGGAGTATCACCTGAAGAGGGGAAATAATCCACTGACCCATATCCGGGCTTGTTCTGTTTACTGGCGTGTACAACGGGGGATGTGTTGGTCCTGTGTTAACCGCACTGAGGAGAACAACAACTGAGCAAGGTAGGATCCTGCTTCCTATATCCTGCTCCCCCATCCTGACCACAATGCAAACATGACTTTGCAATTAAGTTATTGTCGGCCAGAAGGAACAGGCCGGCAACCATGGGTCCTTGGAGTCTCACTTCGCCTTCTCAAAGCTGCTCCAAAGGAGACCACCCCCAGAAAAAGAAGCTCTCGTTTGATTTATGACCACTTGCACTGGATGCAGCAGGACTTTAAATCATGGACCAGCTCCTTGGCCAGTTATTTAACCCCAAATTGTTGCTTACGCATTTACTTACTAATAGTGCCTCTGGAGTTTATGGGGCAAGAAAGTAAAATTCAAATTGAATTGAATTGTTATGCAAATTTTTGGCCAATAGCTATGCTGTTCGGCCCTGATTTAAGATCTGCATATGTATCAGCTGCATCTGTGTGTGACGTTTAATTAAGGCTACGATTCCGTGATTGACACCCCCAAAAATATGCGTCTGTTGATACGATTTAATTGCTGAGCCTTTTTTTCCTCCGCTCCTACGGATCAATTTGGAAAATGTTTCATCTCGGTTGGTGGCAAAAATGGCTGCACGTGTTGTCTATGTCAGTTGAAGCCACACAAAAAATGCATTCCAGTTTCGATTTTGAGAGCCTTTAAATGCTCTCTACTGCGCATCTGATTTATTTTCGATATCAACTAATTTAAATGTGCATTTACTATCAGTTACATTGCACAAACAAAGGTAAATAAATCTTCACATATTTCATTAAAATTTAATACAATTTTATTTGCATTTTAGCTGTGGCACTCTTTTTCCATTTGCCTCTCGTCGCGTAGTTTTCAATATTGGGCCTGGTTTTATTTATTTGTAATTTTTTGCAGCGCCAATAGAACACACGGCGAGCAAACAAAGGGAGACAAAACATGTGCAATAAAAATGTGCAAAATAAAAGAGCACAATTCCGTAACTAGCTCTCGTAGTTTGCCGTTCCGCAATCCATACAAACATTGGCATTACGTATACGAGGCGGTGGCAGCCGCGATGGCACAGACATCTGCATGCTCCGTGCGCCAGCCCTGCATTTGATATATTAAACTTTCGAACTATAACTCAGCATTTATTGTGAATATTTGATTGTTTTTATTGCCGGCGAAATCAAAAATTGAACAAACTTGTTAGCGACAAAATGGAATAAAAGCAATTTTCCTCTGGAATTGCAAAGTTTTTCGGAAAATACTGATGTCAAAATAGAAAATCGCTCTCCAGCAAATCCAATGCCCGAATCATTTCATCGGGCTGCATTTCACATTTATTTACACCTGCAACGAGAAAATGTGGGTTAAACAATACGCACATGCCGCTCGACCTCAATGAAGTGTTAGGGTTTCCCCGAAAAATGAAAAAATCCCCAAAGCTGAGCGGAAATTATTGCGGCTCAATAAAACACTGGTTCGAGCAATCGCGGGAATATAGTTGTAATAAGGGTCGCGTATCAGGTGGATCAGACACAAAGGGCACTGGCAACCAATTGGAAATACATTTGTCAATAACCACACTGGCGAAATGATGTCGGAGTGGAACTGCCCCTTGGCTGGGCCCTCGGCAGATGCCGTGTTCTGCGGTGGGAATGGGCGTGTTAAGTTATTGGCCGCCTGTTCTGTGGGCCCAACAACTTGTAAGTGCGGTCGGCAGGGGGCAAAAAACAATGGCGATAGGTCCCATTGTCACACCTGCGGCAGGAATCTATTATATTTCAATAATGCCGCGACTATCGCATAAATAAACAACCGCAGCCGACCAAACAC